ACAGACACACACACATCTTCCATCCCTGGCACAGGCATTCCGGGAGCACTGGCACATTCTGGATCGGCACACCTAACCCAATTATTTTTAAAGGGCAAGGCTCTTCACAGAGCACGGAGCCCGGATGAGGATGCCACCTACCTGGGTTAACAGTGATGAACTTGCTGTCCTCGGAAAAGCGGTCCCCTCGGGACATGGGCTTTTTAGATGGCAGTGCGGGACTCTTGCGATCACTCCCTTCGTAGGGCTCCTCTGTGACTGTGGGGGGCACTTGGGTGGAGGTGACCGACTCGGCGCCCAGGCGGGCACCCCTCGTGTCATCGGGCTGGTCCGTGGGGACGGCAGTGTGGTCGCGCTGGGGCCCCGGTATAGTCTGATGCCCCCCGTCCTGGGCAGTTCTACCGGAAGACGAGGGCACGGGGGTGGGCTCGGACTGGCTCCGGCCCTGGGCGGCGTGGGTCACCCCGCTCTTCTCCTTCTTCTCGGAGTCCTTCTCCCCCTCCTCCTCGTGCTCCCGCTCCCCGTCCTCACTCTCACTCTTCTCATCCTTTGCCCCTTCCTCGGTGCCCTCGCCGTCCTTGCTCGGTGCGGCGTCACCGTCCGGGGCCGGAGAAGCCACGGCCTCGGTGGTGGCCAGGACCGGCCTGCCCGCCTGCTTGCTGGCCGCCGCGGCCGTGGGGAGGCGCGTGGGCCACACGGTGCTGGGGAAGGAGGAGATGCCGCCGCCGCCGAAGCCCAGGCCGGCCAGGAGCGTGCTGGTGACCACCGAGGCCACCGTCGCCTGGCTGCCGCTGGAGGATGGGCCCATCCCGGTCGCCATGGAAACGAATGAGAAGGGGATGCCCGAGGATGTCCAGGTCGAAGACCCCGAGCTGATCGGGGCCATGTCGGCCGAAGAGGCAGGAGACGCTGTGGGCTTGAAAGGGCCACCAGGGGTGGGGGAGGAACAAAGAAGAGAAAGCAGAGAAGCGTCAGTCATTAGGCTGGGAGGGAGGTCCTGGTTATGACCCGCAGAGGGTTTGGCGGGTTTTTGTTTTACGCGTGGGCTTTCCCGAAGCTCGGGGCCAAAGCTGACTCAGGTGACCACGGACAGCCACCTCCGCTTTAATGGTTTTCAGTCCCTTCGCACATGGATCAAGCCCAGCTTTCACTGCCATTGCTCAGGAGGAGCTAAGTGGCCCCAAAGTGAGAAGCATTAAATTAGGCTGAAAGACAACTATCAAGTGAGTGGTCAGTTGGCAACACCAGCTGGTCAGCTGCTATTGGGTGGCCCTGGACGCGGCGGGAGGCCTCGCTTTCTTATGTCTCTGGCGCTTGTGGACAAGACCCAGCTCTTGGGTCCAGAAGGCCCTCCTGGATCGGGTCCCGCCATCTGACAGGGAGGAAGTAGAGGGACAGGGGAGTGTCCCGTCCACGCCCGCGGGTGGGGCCACCCTGCAGGCTCTGGGACCTGTTCACAGCCCGCACCCCACGTCCTGCACCCTTCAGAGTCTCTGGGCTTATCCAGGGCAAGACCTTTGCCCACGGACATGACAGCGATCACTGCTCCACTTAACAGCTGCTAGCAACGTGCCGGGGCTTCCCACACCATCCGGGATGGTCATCACCCATTTTACAGAGGAGGAAACTGAGGCACAGAGATGTCAAGGGCAGCTTGTGTCCAAACCGCAGCTCACTCTCCCCACCAAGCTAACCTGGTGCTGAAAGACGGGGCTGCACTAGGGTGGGAGCTGGGGAAACAGCCAGGGCCGCCGAGTCCTGAGCTTAATGTTGGTTCTGACAGCCAGAAATCCGTTCAAAACAATATGCCAGGACACCTTAGATTTTATCGTTTTATCTCGAGGTTTTAATGAGAAAACTCTGTAGTTCAAAGAGGATCGAGTTAGCAAATGTAGAGTTCTTAAGTTGGTTAATGAGATGCCTGATGCCACACGCAAGGGGGCACTCAATCAATGAAGTCAGGCAGCCCGGCTGAGCGAAGACCGCTCGTGCTCTCCGGGTGATGCTGGGCACATCACCACAGCCCACGGAGCCTCGGTGTCCTGAACCATAAAAGGGGAATACTAGTAACACCAATCTTGTGGGAGGCTGTGAGGAGTAAGTAAAATAATGAAATAACCTGTGCTTGAAACCCAGGAAATGCTGAGTAAGTGTTAGGCTATTGTTGTTATCATCAACCATGTGATCACTGTTATGATTATTAGTTGCACTAGAAATGGGAAAACTTAGATATTGATTGAGGCTACGGAAATTTGAAAATCCACATAGCTTTGGGCAAATGACAACCTCTGGGAATTTCAGCGTGTGTCCAACCAAGGGCTTGGAGCTGGCTGACCTGTGCAATCCTATATCCTATGACCCTACAGATAATAAAGAATTAAAAACCAGAGAATTTTTCACCTTGACAAAATTATACCGTATAACACTACTGCTTTAACTCTGCTGCACAGCTTGTTTTCCTAATGGATTGAATTATAAACAGTGAATAATGTAAATTTTTCTGTATCTTAACTTTTCCCCATGAAGCAGTTTCACAACATCGTACTGCCACCTCGTGGTGACAGTTTCAACTGCATGCAAATTAACAACCAGGACAAAACACCTACTTACAAAACATTCCCTACTTACCACTCCTGTTTTCACAATTCTGGTCCCTTGGAATATTCGAGTGGTATTAGCTGAGAAACAAAGAAATTACATTGTAAACCATGAATTTTGTTGTTTTTGTTCCAACAAAACCTTACAGACATAATTGTGAATTACATATAATTTGCATGGAATGAAATATCATTCCTTTTTAGATTTTCTCCCAGCCACTTAAGAACAACAAATGCTTCTCAGACTGTGAGTCATTAAAAAACACGCAGAGGGCTGCATTTGGCCTGTGGGCCATAATTTGCTGAATCTTGTCTTAAGCTATTAGTTTAAAATTTTTAAGAATTGTTACTGATTTCTGACTTACTGAGGTAAAGCTTACATAGAGTAAAATGTACAAGTCTTAAGGGTATAGTCCAATTAATGTTTACCCCTGTAAACACCTGTGTACCTACCTACACCCACACTGAGTACAGGCATGCTCCCGCACCCCAGCTGCTCTGCCTGTGCCCCACCCACTCAACACCCACCCCCTTCCCCCAAGGCACGCACACTCTGACCTCGGTCAGAATTCTAGTTTTGAACTTCATATAAGTGGAATCATATTATTTCCTTGTTCCTCTCTATTTGCTTTTTGCTTATAATTTCTTACATGATCCTTTCAGTGATTACAATATACATCCTAACTTTATGATAGTTTACCTTAAATTAGCATTTTTAATACCTCCTAAGAATGGAAGAAATATACACTTTTCAAATTCCATTGGCCTACCTCACTTTTTGTGCATCGTCATATATTTTATTTCCACGTAAGTTTTAAAATCCATCGTTGCTTTAAGTGGTCAAATTCTTTTATGCTAACCACGCATTACTCGCCCTGGTGTTTGTTCCTTCCTGAAGTTCTGTTCACCCATGTGTGATTATTACTAAACAATATAACACGAAAACTTTAACATAACACAAAACTTACCACCTTAACCCCTTTTCAGAGCACAGTTCAGTAGCGTTAGGTAGGCCCACACTGCTGTGCAGGCTTCTCATCTTGTAAACCTGAAACTCTTCGCCATTAAACCTCCCCATTCCCCCGCCTGAGCCCGGAAACGCCCATTCTACTCCGTTTCCGGAAGTCTGGCTGCTCTAGCGCCTCCCAGAACTGGAGTCATACGTGGTTGCCTTTTGGTGACAGGCTTATTGCACTTAGCACAGTGTCCTCACGGTGCCTCGCAGTGTCAGAATCTCATCCCTTTTTAGGCTGAACAACACTGCATGGTACGTGTACCACATTTTATTTACTCATTCATTACTGGTGGGTGTTTGGGCTATTTCCACCTTTCCGCTATCGTGAATAATGCTAAACAATATAACTTTTTAAAAAAAGGACATACCAAACTGTGTCTTTGTCTTTATCTAAAAAACCAATAGGGCTACATATACTAAAAGTCTGCTTCCTATACCACACATGGCCCTGAGAAATTAGCAAAAAACATGCTAAATACCACAATAAAAAACATTTGAGCCTGCTGTTATTTTTATCTAAACCAGAGGTGGCAGGTGACCAACATAACTTCTGTTTGGCCTGCAAGCTATTTAAAAAAAAAAATAACTTTGTTGCCATTGTATACAGTAAGTTTGTAAGCACTGAACTGCTTTCATCTAAAAAACAAATCCTAGATTCTGGCTTATTTATCCTGAAAAATCACAATATTTGTCCAAACTGAGCTCGCCTTCCTGCGGGACAACATTCAACCGGAGCTGTGTCCGCCCCCCTGCTCAGTTGTCCGTCACCCTGCTCAGTGGCACAGGACCTCCTCTTTCCCACCCACGATCCTCCCTCCTCTGTCCATGTTCCCTGCCAGGCCCCGGGCACCCGAGTTTGCAACCCCTGACCTCACCATGCATTCATTTTGCAAAGCAGAAAGTGAACGGTGCAAAGGGACAAATGGAGAACAGACTGGAGAAGTCACCACCACCAGGTCACAGGAGGCAGCCCAGGAAGCAACGGGCTCCGGCCAGGACTCAGCAGACCTCCCACCTTCCTTTATGCTGCCCCATCGGTGGTGCTGCACGGAGGCCTCAGACAGGTCTGCACATGCACCTCCCTTTGTTAAGACGGAACAAAAGTTCCCAGGAGACCTGCTTCGCCTGCCCTTCCTGAAGGCTCTGATTAAGGCCGACCAACTCCGCAGCCACTCCACCTGCAGGCCCGCTTCTCATTAATCCTGAACAATTTCCAGCGGGGACAGCTCTGGCTGTGGTGACCAGGACATTCCTACAGCCCCTTTCCCTTCACCTGGTCCACAGGCCTAAGGGGACTCAGGGGCAGAGACAATGACAGGGCACTGCCCCTAAGCTCTCCTTAGACGCAGCCCTTCTTTCCCGGTGCACACAGCATCAGACCTCGGCTGCATGGCAGGACCTAGGACTCTGTCTCCGACTGAAAGTGGAGATTTTTGTGCCGCCGTGTATTTTACTTTTTAATTTAAAACTAGAGGCTCAGTGCACGAAATTCGTGCATTCAGTGTGGGGTGGGGTTTCCCTCAACCCGGCCTGTGCCCTCTCGCAATCCAGGAGCCCTCAGGGGATGTCTGATTGACGGTTTAGTCCCGCTCCCACCACCGCTGCTGTGCTCACCACCCATGAGCCTGGCTTCAGGGAGTGCACTGACCACCAGGGGGCAGCTCCTGCATTGAGTGTCTGCCCCCTGGTGGTCAGTGTGTGTCATAGCAACCAATCGTTCTGCCGTCAGGCCAAAACTGGCTCTCTGACATCCCTGGAGGGGTCCCAGATTGTGAGAGGGCGCAGGCCAGGCCGAGGGACCCCACTAGTGCACAATCGGGGTTGGGGAGGGACATGGGAGGTTGGCCAGCCAGGGAGGGGCCGAGGGAAGGCTCTAGGGTGTGTCCAGCCAGTCTTGCTCAGTCCTGATAGGCCGGACCCCAGCAGCAAGCTAACCTACTGGTTGGAGCGTCTGCCCCCTGGTGGTCAGTGCCTGTCATAGCGAACAGTTGAGCGGCTTTAGCATATCATTAGCTAAATGATTGGTTGAACGGCCAACTGGACGACAGGACACTTAGCATCTTAGGCTTTTATTATATAGGATCATCTTAAGAGAGAATCCATCAGCTTTGCAGCAGGCTGCCTACAGGCCTGTGGCTCACACAGAATCTCAGGAATCCCTATTTTCTGTGACTGTAGAGAGTTACAGAGAGGCTTTGAACAATAACTCAGGATGTTACATGTTTGTTGGAGACTGGGGCACGTGGCTGATGCTTACTCTTTGGGGACGGTCCATTGCTGTGCAGAAATGATCGGCTCTGGAAAAAGGAATCCAGACCTGGCGTAGCAGCCAAGTGATTTTTCACAGGTTGCTCACCTGCCCCAGCACCATTTCCCTTCTGAACAATAAATACCGCCCGTGTTACACCTGCCATGAGGTCAGATGACACAACTTATGGGCAAACGCTCTGTAACTGTGACTCACTCTGTATTATTACTATTACATTGGTCACAGTAAGGTAAATGTAACATATTTAGAACATAAATATTGGCATATTTACTACGATAAGGAAAACATTCCATGTGGCTTCCTCATATTAACAAAATATATTTTTAACAACCCACAGGTGAAGTTTACCCAAGGAAGGCACCCATAAATTCTCTAAGCTTTTTCCTTTCCCTGTTCAAGCTGAAGTCCTGCGATTAGTGTTGTCCACTGGCCTCTACTGCTCATAGCTCTCCTCGGCTCAGCCGGCTGGTTCCACTAAGACTTCGTTTTCATGAACTTCCCCCTGGATGCTGCGGGGCACTGCCGAAGCCGCTGTGGGAGGAGTGAAGGGTCCGTGCCCCTCGTCCCCCTGTGGGGACAAACAGCACAGAGAGGGAGCGAGCTCACGTCCACTGCTGAGCAGAGGAGCCTACGGACACTGGAGACAGCAGCCATTTCAACAAGCCCTGCGATCAGACGTTTTAAATACTCCACGCTTAGAGCTTGTAGCTGACAAGGCCTTTTTGAATTATATTACCTTACAAACATTTCATTTTTCAAAGTCCACGCAGAAGCCAGCAAGCTCAGGGGGCCTATTAGTCAGGAAAGGCAGTTCTGCGGATCCCAGCTCCCGGTCGGAGCCCACGGAGACCACATCTGGATGCATGCAACCCGGTCACGTGTGTGTCCAAGGTTCCCGCCCCGCCAGCAGCAGGCGCCCACTCCGGCCCGTTCTCTCTCCCCGGGGCCGGCACAGGCCTGGCCGTGGCCTGAGCTCCCTCCTCAGCACAGGCAAGGGGCCAACGTGTTCAGAGCCCAGGTGGGCACACAAGCATGAGTTATTTGTGAAGAAAGACAGCATGCTAACTTCAATTAGTTTAAACAGAAGGATGAGATAATGCGAACATTAAATGCAAAGAACATTTAAACACTAAATGCGAAATGGTAGGGCTGGAAGGGATTTATGGAGGGCATCTAGGCGGGAGGGCTGCTTACCCGGGGTTTAGCATTTGGTACTTTTTAAATCAAACCTAACAGTAAGGGGATATTCATAGTTGGTACCAGGGACACTATGCGAACTACTTGACAGGCATCAGCCCGTGGCATTCCGTAAGGATGCTGTGAGGTCGGCACCGTTAACACAACCACGTGTCGGACTGTGAAACTGAAGCTTAGAAAAGCTAACAAACATGCTCAGGTTTGCAGAAATACAAAGTGCAGCCGGGACTCAAACTTGGGCCCTCCCTCCAGGGCCCCAGTTCTCAACCGGGGCTTCTGTCTTCAGTGTGCCTGCCAGTCACCCAGACGTGTGGTTAGGACTCAGACCACCCCCACTCCCCCCAGAAATGCTGAGGGGACTGATCTGGGAGGGACCCGGATGGGCATTTCTCACAGGCTTCAGCCAACGCTGCTGCCGGTCCCACAGGCTTTCCAGGGCCCCTGAAAATGCTCAGTTTTGGCATTTTCCAGGGAAACGCCTTCACCAGATACAGGACTCAAAAAGGGGAAGGACCACTGGCCTGGTAGGAGGTTTCCCTGAAACTGAGGACCCGAGAGGAGGGCCTCACGGGGAGGACCTCGGTCTGGCCGAGCGAAGCCCACGCCCTGGTCCCTCCATGCTGGCCTAAGCCCACATCGCAAACCAGTTCCGCAACCATGGCCCACAGGCTGGCAGCCGGTTTTGTAAATAAAGTTTTATTGGAACTAGGACTGGAATGGGGTTGGGGCAGTGACTGTCCATCTTTTTCATCTCCTGGCACACACAAACTAACTGCTAAAACTCTGCAGCCCACAAAAAATATATTTTTACCAATCTGACAAGAAAATAGGTATAATTTTAGTTCATTCACACAGGACGGCCATGGTTGTGTTGGCTCTTTTCATTTTTTTATTTGACAAACTAAGGGAAAGGAAGTCAGTGCCCCTAATTTGTCAGGCATTGCATGTTTTAAAATTTCTCCTAGCACACGGTTTGAAAATAACTAGGTGAGAGCGAGTAAGTCAGAGTGAATTCCTGTCTTTATTTAAAATTCTGATATGATGTTCATGAATTGTTTTAATTGACTTTGCTTTTAAAAAATATTCCATTAAAATATCATGTGTCTTAATTACCGCGTTTTTTGCAGCCCTTTAAATTTTGCACCTAGATGAATGCCTCCCTTGCCTCACCCAGCCCTGGCCCTAGAACTTTCTGCCAGTCCCCCAAATGCACAGGAACAAATACCTATTTCTCAAGATGCTCAAAGGTCCCGCAAGCAGGGCCCGAGTGTGGCTCGCCAGCTGGAAGGTGAGCGGTGTGTGTCTGGGCTCTGGTTCTAGGGTCACGCTAGATCCAAGAGGGGTTCTGTGATCTGACACAGCCAGATACACAAGGACAGTAAAAATCACCACTTCCCTCTTCCTCCCTCTCCGGGCCTATGAAACTCTAAAAGGCGGGATTTAAAGCCCCACAGATCCCTAGGCCAGGCTTGTGTTCTTCTCCCAAGCCCCCGAGCAGGAAAAACCAAGCACCAGGGGCGGGGCTCAGGGCACCCGGCCTTACCTTGAAAGAGCATCGTCTGGCTGAAGTCGCTGCGCATGTCGTTCCGGCACACGGCCTGGACGCGAAACAGGTAAAGGCTATCAGGTGAGACATGGCTAATGGTGGCTTTCTGTAGGTGAAGAAAGAAGAGCAGTGAGCAGGTGTGGAGGCCAGCACATGCCCACCTTCTAAGCCAAACCTAAAGTAATGTTAAGAACCATGTTCAGGTTTGTGTTGCCACGGCAACACCTGCTGGACACGACGCTCCCATGGACCAAAGGCTCCCTCTGGAAGGGAAGAGTGGTCAGAGAGTACCTGGCCTGGGAATCTGCTTCCAACACTGAAATGTGCAGGATAAGACGGAACCAAATCAGTCTGGACCCCGATGCTTAACTGAGGCTCGGCCTGTGTCTTAGGCCCCCTTTATACTCACGAGTCTTGGACTCCTTCCACCACTAATATCCCTGATAGACTGCCATTATTTACCCGAGACGGCCTCTCGAATCACCAAGTGGACTGCTTTCCAGAGCCAGGCAGAGTTTAAACATCTGCATCAAGATGTCTGCATGCCTGTCTTTGCAGTGTTACGGTCTTGTCATACATTCTCCATGGGTAATACGGGGCAAAATGCCAGGAAGAACACCTGGCTAACGGTCAGGAAAGGTGAGATGCAGCCTTTTCACCCACTCACAGGCTGATCCTGGGCCAGGGGCTCGGTTTTGGCTTCTGCTGCCCTCCCGTGTAAAATGGGAGAGAAACAGCGACCTCACAGGGTCCTTGTGAAAGCAAGGTGACACAGGCCAGGGAAACCTGTTCATACGTAGCCCCCACCACATCACTGAAAGAATGGCCCTGGTCTAACACAGGGCTGGCCAGCTCCAGCTCACAGGCCAAATCCGGCCCCCTGTCTGTTTTTGTCAATAAAGTTTTATTGGCACACAGCCATGCCCATTCCTTTACGGTGGTATCTATAATGGCAGGGTTAAGTTGTTGCCACAGCAACCTTATGTCCCATAAACCCTAAAATCTTTACAACCTGGCCCTTTCTAGAAAACGTTTGCCAATCCCTAGTCATTAGACACCTGCCAAATCCAGGTCCCCCTTCCTCAGAGCTTTATTCCCAGGGCCTTTAAAAATGAGAAAAGAGAAAGTACCTGAAAAGCAGACAGTGCTTGCTTTGTGAAGAAACAAACAAAAAAAGCAACTGAGTCCAAAGACTTCCCTAATGGATGAATGTCTTGCCACTGAAATGTGGATTCTGGGCTGAGTATCAAAAGCAGCCTTGGGAGCTTAACCGCTGGGCGGGTTTCCCGTTGCAGCCGCCGAAACCTCTGACCGGGCGTTAAGTGGTACCATGGCCACACCTGCTGCTGCGGCCTAGCCCCTGGCTCCTGTGAGGGCAGCAGGTGACGTCCCCTTAGTGAACTGTAAGCCTCATGTATGTCTTTCGGAGAAGGTTAACGGTAACATCCGCCCCCAGGCCTATAGGAGGATGGGGAAGAGGCACGTGACCTGGAAAAGGCCGCACTGACCTTACATATTCCTCTGAGGTTTCCAGGCCACAGCAACCATCAGTTGAAGAACAGTTTTGTTGCTGCTAAGTCAGCATACTTGGCTTCCCGAGGAATTAAGAAAATTAATCTTGTGTGTCCCCAAAGAAACTAGCCACCCCTGGAAATTCTCAGGAAAAAAAAAAAGACCTTCCAATTAGAGCATATTTTTCTCTGCATCGCTCCCTTTCTCTGAACCCAATTCACGCCTCTTCCTCCAAGCCTCTGACCCCGTCTCCTGTTCAGGGCAAAGTCCCCGCTCCACCGACACAGGGATTTACTGAATTCACGCCAAGCCAGTATCTATTCATCTTCCTGTGTTTAATTATTTTTCACTTAGAACAAGACCCGCCTGAGCGTCTACGCGGCTTCTGCTGATTAATGCAGCCATCTTTACTTCAGAGAGAAAACCCCTCGTGGGTTCCCAGGGGCGACAAGAGGAAGGTCAAAACACATCACAACCTCGGGAACTTCCGGTAGGTTCCTCTCTGATTTCACCAAGCTCCTCGTCCCCTAATGGGACCCAGATAACTATGTCTAGTGGGGAAATTGAAAATATAAGTGAAAATGAAGAAAAAGAATCTTCATCTAAAGGAATACGCCAGGTTTTATTCTATCCCTGATGGAATGGGCCCCGGGGACTCCGTGCTGGGAGAAGAAGTGGGAATGATCATTAAGAATCCCACTCGGTGCGACTGCATTTGCCACGTGCACACACAGTTACGGATGTCATTCTTCCAGAGCCCGCCTTTGATTAACAATGAAAGCAGAGGCGCTCCAATCTGACTGTGTCACGTTGAGTTTCTCTGCAGAGACGTGAAGACTAGTGCTCGCTGGAGGCTTTGCTTTCACAGGGGAAGAAGAGCGGCTACAAACATCTGCTTAGAAGGGCTTGCTGGGGTGTTGGCCACTAAACATTTCTGCACGTTTTACGGAGAGTGTGGAACTGTACAGGAGCTCACGGTGAGGTCAGATGCCAGAGTGTCTGAGAGACTGAGAACAGAGGCTAAACATGACATGGTCCCAGGGATCCCCCAGGTAGGAAGGTGAGGGGATCCGATGGGAAGGGGAGTGTGGGCAGTGGGCAGTGCATGGTGGCGGTGACAGTGGGAAAGAGCAAGAGGAGGAAGCGCTGCAGCAACATCAGCGGGTCCTTCCACACTGCTCCCCGGGCCAGAGTCTGCTGCACATGCACACAGCATCTCGCATCCACAAAACCCTGTCAGATGAAAAGGCCTTAACAGAGCTTTCTGTTTCTATAGAATGAAAGACAGAGGAGTCCGTTTAAAGGGCCCAATTATAAAAAAAGGAACTAGCTTTTCCGGTGGCGTTGGGGGGTGAGTGTGAGGGCGGATGGGGCCCAGGCAGGCTCGGCCACGGTCCACACCGGGAGCTATGCCCTGGGGCAGCGTGAGGCCGGGGCCTGCCTGCAGTGCCTGGCAGAGATGCAGCGGGAGTCCCTCTCCTCACTGCAAGGGCAGCAGGCACCCCGACTTTTACCAGGTCTTTGTCGCTGTCCTTCGTGAAGGTCTTCTCCTTCTCGTCCTCGTTCTTGGTCCAGCTGTAGGAGATCATGTAGTTCATGATGGGCGGGTGGTAGATGGTCTCGGGCTGGCTCCAGGACACCTGCAGCGCCGTCTGGTTCAGGGGCTGCACCTTCATGTGGATGGGCGGGGAGCTGCAGACTGAAGGCAGACGGCAAACTCAGTGGGCGGACACCACACCCTCACTGGCCCGGCCTGTGTCCCCAGAGCCCAGCCCCGGAAACCTGACAGAGCAACACACAACACCCCACTCCCGTCGCCTGAACCTGCCCTCAACATTTTGCCACATCTCTCCTCCCTCTCTCTTTCTTTTTTTTAAAAATTATTATTATTATTTTAAAATCTTCACCTGAGGATATTTTGCCATTGATTTTTTGTAGAGAGAGAGTGGAAGAGAGAAGGAAAGACAGAAATATTGATGTGAGAGAAACACAATGATTGGTTGCCTCCTGCATGAGCCTTGACCAGGGTCTGGACTGGGGAGGAGCCTGCAACAAAGATACATGACCTTGACTGGACTTGAACCCAGGACCCTTCAGTCCGCAGGCTGACGCTCTATCCACTGAGCCAAACCACCTAGGGCTCCCTCCCTCTTTCAACACACACAATCACATACACACACACACACACAATCACAATCACACACACACACACACACACACACACAATCACACATACAACTGTTTTCCTGCGAAGGCATCATAAGCGAGTTGCAGATTCCCTGACACTTCACTCCTTCATAGCTCACCCTGCCTCTCCTAAGACTAAGGACATTCCCCATCTGATTGCAAGAGACCGAGTGTTTCGTGCCCCCAAATTCACGTTGAAACCTAATCCAAATGTGGTGGCACTGGGAGGTGGGGCTTTGTAAAGTGATTAGGTCATGAGGGTGGAGCCCTCATGTGTGGGATTAGTGTCCTTATAAAGAGGTCCCAGCGAGCTCCCCGCCCTTCTTGGGGAGGACACAGTGAGGACACAGCACTATGCACCAGGAGGTGGGCTCTCACCGGACAGGGCTCCTGTGGGGCCTGATTTTGGGCTTCCCAGCCTCCGGGAGCCTGAGAAACAAATTTCTGTTGTTTGTAAGCCACCCAGCCCATAGGAGTTTGTTACAGCAACCTGAGCGAAGACAAAACCCTAGAACCACGATCATGCCTAAGAACATAAACAGTAATTCAATAGTACTATCTGATGCACAGCCCGTATTCAAACTCCCCCAATCGTCTCCAAAAGATTGTTTATAGCCATGTCCCCCTTACCAGAGTTGCATTTCCTTATATAAGGCTTTAGTCTCTTTTTAAAAAATTTATTTATTTATTGTTTTATCCTCACCTGAGGACATTTTCATTGACTTTAGAGAGAGAGGAAGGAAGAGAGAGAGAGAGAGAGAGAGGGAGAGAGAGAGAGAGAAACATCTATGTGAGAGAGAAACATTGATAGGTTGCCTGGACTGAACCTACAACCTAGGTATATGCTCTGACCAGGAGTCAAACCCACAAGCTTCCGGTGTACGAGACGATGCTCCGACCCACTGAGCCACCGGCCAGGGCAGCTTTTTTAGCCTCTTTTAATCTAGCATAGTCACCTGATCTTTTTCCCTTGATGACTTTTTTGTAGAAACCAGGCCATTGGACCTGTGGGGTACCCCAACCAACTAAAATTGTAGATCAAACACCACTGTTAGCAGATCAGAGGAAATAAATTTAAAAGGAGATGTTAAATAAAGCAAAGGCGCGCGCGCACACACACACACACACACACACACACACACACAAGGGCTGGCCCAGGAGGACCGCAACGAATAGTTCCCCGACGTGGGCACAGGAAAGCCAGGCTCACCCTCCTTCCTCTTCCTTGTGGCGCAGGTTTGAAGGGACACAGGTTCTATGTCCACCTACCAAAGGCCACCTACCAAAGGGCTGAGCTATCAGGTCAGCCTTTAATAGCGACGTTTTAGTTGCAAGTGTGCGCTTTCCCAGCCCCTGGGGTTCCTGCCACCACTGGGCACGGAGTCGGGGCCGTGTCTCTCAACCTTCGGACTATTGATATTTGGGCCAGATACTGTTTGCTCTTGGGGGGCTGACACTGTAGGGTGTTTAGCAGCATCCTTGGCCTCCACTCATTAGATGCCTTTAGCACCACCCCCCCCAAATTATAACAATCAATAATGCCCCCAGTAATGCCAAATGTCCCCAGGGCAGGGGCTGGGGGTGGGCAATTACCCCTGGCTGAGAACCAGCAGTCTAAACGGGGAGATGGGGGTTCCCCAAAGGATCCCACCCGTGGAGCTGATATTCTTTCCTGGATGGGAGGACGGAGGGGAGGAGAGGCACTCAGTACTGTCCAAGCTCAGCGTGGAGGCGTGGACCCAGCTATGGGCCTGGGGAAGACTGCGGAAGGCACCCTGGGAGCTGAGTCAGGGGGAGAGGGGAGGGCAGGCCCAGGGACCACGGGAGGGAGGGGCCTGAGGGGCTGAGGGAAGCCAGGCCTGGGCCAAGGCTCAGAGAAAGAGGCGGGAGGAAACCGGGCAGCTCAGTGGTAGCCGCAGAGGCCCAGCTGAAACGTCCGGTCTTCATCCTAAGAGCACCCAGAAGCCACAGGAAAGACGTGAACAGAGAAGGACACAGGCGGGTTTGCACTTTGCAGAGATCCCTCAAGCTTCAGCTGAGCCAGATCCTGGGGGACTGGAGTGAGGAGGGAGCCGGGGAGCAGGTGCTGCCAGCTGCTCGCTGCTGGAGACCAGGGAGGGGGGACAAAGAACTGCGGTTCTAGAGCGAACGGTTAGAGTAAGGACGACACTGGGGGCGGGAGGGGTGGTTGAGGGGAGGAGGTAAGCCAGAGGGACGGGACGTGGCTGTGGTGTCTCCCAGGAGCCCACCATAGCCAGCTTCCCCAAGAACCCTGAGCCCCAGGCCACCCCAGGGAGCAGGACGGCGTCCCCGCCGGAGGCACCGGCCCTGCTGTGAGGAGCTGGCCGCTGGAGAAAAGAGGACATCGGTTCTGACAGGGAGGCATCCGCTCGCTCTTCAACTGCCAAATCACGCTGCAGCCGAGAGCTCTGCTTTGTGGCTGCGACAGGAGGAAGGATAAATTAATGAGGCATCCCCACTGCCCCAGAGAACCCTGGGGGCATCGCGCCGCCTGCCACACAAATGCCACCGGAGCAGGGACATCAAACAAAGAGTGTGAGCGAAGGCTCCACAGAGACGAGGCTGAGTGGCGGCGTGGACACTAGGTGGCGCTGACATACCATTCAAATACCCCAACCTTCAAGTTTCTCAGGAAGGCAGAGCAGGGAAAGTCAGGAAAAGACCTGCACATGCCAATAATGAACCAAGATTGATATACTGGGAGCTCCGGTTCCTTGCAGTGACGACCATGTCAGACACCCTGACTTCTGCATCTTCTCTCAGCTCCTGCCATATTCCCATTCACCCCCTGACCGGCAGTGGGCTGCATGGGATGCGCGGATCTCTCATGGTTCCATCATCACCACATAAATCATTCTATCACACGCAGATGCAACCACTGTTATTTATTCTTTAAAATTAAAATAGCTGGGTTCTCTTTGCTGATTAGGATGATTCATGTTAATGTTTTTAAAAAGAAACCCAAGTAGTACAGAAAAAGTAAGAAGAAATTTTTTTAAAAAAATCACCCCAAATTCCAGCGCCCAGAGATGAGTATCCTTAGCTAGCTGGGGAGTCGGCGTCCAGGTATCTCTTCCTACCCGCAGAAAAGCAGACACATGATCTGATGGAAAGGGGGATGATGCATTACAGCATCACAGCTGGAGTTTTACTGCTGCTGTGGGCTCTACTCAGTAAGTCATGCAGATACCTCCTGGTCAGCGAATGGAGCCTGGCATCGCTGCTCGGAATGAAGAGACAGAACTCCACCACCTCAATGTACCAGAAAGTACTGCACTGAGCCCACGAAGGAGGCATGTCTGTTCTCCTCTGACAGGACCACCCACCAGGGCAGGACTTCAGTTCCCCATTGGCCTCCACAGACCACTTCTGAGCTGCGGGCCGGGGGTCTGCAGGTGGGGGAGTGGCATCCAGATGTATGTGGCGGGCAGGTGGAACAGACATTTCCCTTCTGCTGTCTGTCTCCCTCTACCACCTCGCTGAGGGGGAGGAGCCCTGTGGCCAGACCTGGAGGAGGCATTTGCAGAGCACCAGGAGGACTCAGAGCAGGACTGGCCAAGTTGTTCTGCCAAGAGCCGGTAGTAAATATTTTCGTTTTGCGGGCCATACAGTCTCCATACATCACAAATAAGCAACTGTGCCTTCGAAGCACAAAGCAGCCCAGGCGACATGCATGGGGATGAGTGTGGCTGTGCGCCAATCAAACTTCTCTCATGGACGCTGCATGTCAATTTCACATCCTGGTCACGTGTTATTAAGTCTTCCGCTGCCTGTGATTTTTCAACCGTTTAAAACATAAAAACCATTCCCAGCTTATGGCCGTACAAACGGTGGTGGTGGGTGAGTCTGGGTTTGCTGATCCCAGGCCTCGAAGGTACAGGGAGGACACACCTTTGCTGACACGTGTGTCCTCAGCACTGACCTCGGTCCCCAGCACACCTGGCAGCCTCTCTAAACACATCCCCCTGCGAGGTGCTCCCTGCACCAGCCTCCCCTCCTCGGGCTGCTTCCATTCCCACTGGTGTCTGCCTGCTTCCCACAGCCCTCGGACGATGCCCACGCCAGCCCTGAGAAGTTCTGCCTTTAATCTGAACCACCTTTGACTGTGAACCTAGACTTTCCTGAATAGTGAAGAGGCTTCTAGCAAAGCCCAGGGTCCTCTGGCTCTAAAGCAATGTCCAGGGTATTTTCTCAGTGGCTCCGTAAGTGCATGGGAGGTGCTCACCCCACCCCACCCCACCCCACCCCACCCCACCCCTCTTCATTTGGGGTGTTAGATATACCACTGTGATTCGTGGTGTGAAGTCGGTGTAATTTCCAAGTGCCTTAAAATATTGAGTTGAAGGTCCTCCCAGGCACCCTGCCTCCTCCTTTTCTCTCCTGAGACAACAGGCCAATTATTGGTCAGGATTCCGAGAGGTACACAGCACAGCTCAAACACAGCCGCGTGGTGCCACTATTCCACCAAGCTTGTCAGCAGCATGAAACTGG